CTCACTAACCTTCTTGGTATAGAACTTATGCTTGGGATAGTTTGCTTCTGTTACCCTATATACCTTTCTCACATAAGACCATCAAACACCTGTAGCAAAAAGTGTAAGATTGAAGTTATTATAATATACCTGGTTCATCTTGTATCATCAGCACAAATAACAGGGCTTATCACAAAACATGCAGCCTTTTAATAAATGTGTAGTAGCAGAAATTACGAAGATATTGATTAAATGGAAATTTCAAATGACTGGTAAGTTGAATGAAAGAGCAGTCTTGCAGGTAAGTGCTAGAGTTCTTTCAATGAAGTAGAATCTGCCCTCTTTTTTTTTTTGGTAATCCTTCATTCTTAGATGTAGTGCTTTCATAAACACCATAATTTCAGATTAGTTTCAGAAATAAGGATTCAACCTGGGTCAGAGTAAAAGTTTAAAGTTCTTTTTTTGAATCACGAAAATCCTACCAGAGTATTAGTGGATCCTAGTTGCTCATCATGGCTGAATCTTGTCAAATGGCTGATTTCTGAAAGCAAGTAGTCTAACATGTTCTTTAAGTGTTATATTCACAAAGCAGATTTACTTATCTGAACATATCACTTATCAAATCTATATTCTGCTTCCTAGGAACGTGCACAAAGTAAGTATAATGCATTTTCTAGATATAACTCTTAAATTAGTTAAATACTCTAACAAATATCCCCCCCACACACACTCTGCATTTCAGTACCTGTAAAGATTTGCCCTTCTGGTTCCTCAGCTTTTTCTCTACAGGTAAACATCCACAATGTTCTTGTCAATGCCAGCATTCAAGAATAGCATATATTTATTGCTTAATACAGGCAGACTATCATGCTAGTTTTCAGATCACAGTAGTTCTGTGGCTGTAGACCACACAAGCTTATGTGATGTACAGTAATGCTGAATTCATAACCAATAGAAATATTTGAAATATCCTGCATTTTTAATTTAGGGGAAAAAGTGATTAAAAAGAAATTATACAGAGATTCTCTATGAAGATGCCTTTAATATAAACTTGACTTCTCTTTTAAATAATGTACACTGGTTGCAGGGAAGGTTTCATGGGTTTTCTAAGGAAATAATGTATCTTGATTTCAGAGAAATCATTGGATCCATGAGAGCATTATATTCCTGGCTGAAGGTTGGATAATCAAGAGTGCCCTGAAAAAGACGAGATGAAAGCACTCTATCCATGACTATGGGTTTTATTTTAATCAAGGAATATATGAAACTCAAACTCTAGGGAAGTGAACAGATGTTTTGAAGAGAGAATTGTTTATTTCAGGGGTATAGAGAACTTTTGGATGATGACAGGTCCGTGGAATTGGTTATCTGAAACAGAATGGAGTGGGAAATTCCCCAGAAATGAGGCAAATGAAACTAGAGGCTACATAAAAATCCATGCATGCACAGTAGCCACAGAAAACATGCAGGATTAAGAGAGAAGTGAGGATTTGTCAGCTTCTAAAGTCATTAATTAGTCAATTAAATGACTGGGAGGGGCAGACAATAGTAATGATGGAGAGGTGCTGATATAGAAAATGACAAAGTTACAAGGGAATTTACACTTAAGTGGAGACAGGTTTTTAATACCAAGAGTTACCTGGGATTAAGAACAATTTTGATCTCACTCCTGGAATAACGTACAAAGGGTATGAGAAAATTCAAAGTATTGAACTTTTTTTCTTTTCTTCTTTTTAATAAATCATTTTATTGGGGGCTCTTACAGCTATTGTAACAATCCGTACATTAATTTTTAAAATCATTTTGTTAGGGGCTCATACAACTCATCACAATCCATACATACATCAATTGTGTAAAGCGCATTTTTACATTTAT